TATATTTTAAAGCAAAGATATCATCACCTTTTTAGGCACATCTCCGTTTTCTTAAAATGAAGAAAAATATCTTCATGAAATTTAAGTTATTTTGCATAGTCAGTAAATGTTCACAGATTTACTTCTTTTTAGTTAGCTGGAGTGCTTTCCAAGGACCTAATTGCATTTCCTACTCTCATTAACCTGCAGTGAATAGATCATTGGTTAACAAAAGCTATAGGAGGGACACCCAGCCTTGGGGACTAAATGTAGTATATAATCAAGGCAATTTCCGTTGCAGTGGTCGGTGTTATCATTTTCTGTATTTTCCCATCAGAACAAAACCCAGCTGTGACTGTTGAAACTGTAGACCTTAGCACTGCTCATTTTCAAATAGACACCTTTACAACTCAATTCGAGAGCCGCTTCCATTTTAATTTGAGAGTGCTGATCCAAGAGAATGGAGTGCATGCTTATCACTATTTTTCTGGAGTAAATGATCACAATACCAGTTTAACAAAGCAGCTGAAAGCAGAACTCAGCGTTACCACCCACAATCCATAGGCAAGAAGCCCTGACTTTCACTTGGCCTCATGGTAGTCATTTGATGGAAAATATTTTAATGGGGCATAGAAGGATCAGAAGTCTACATGGAATATGATCAAAGTTAAAAGAGAAATTCCTTTTTAATTGAGAAAGCAAGATATTTTGTGTAAGCCTCACTTTTATGGGAAACTAAAAGGGGAACCGTGTTAGCAGCAGAGTGAATGGCATGACTGATGGTATGACAGAGCATGGCCAGACTAATAGCTTAACAAAAATGAGTACTTTTATAGTGCTTCATAGTTTTCTAAGTGTCTTTTCTCATATCAGTTTTGATACGTTTTTCTTGTCAGGTGTGTTATTAATATATAGCAGTGTTTTAAGATATTGCGAATCTGTTGCTCAGAGGAACAGAGCATAGTGATCACCAATGATTCTATAGTGAAAAGGTAATGGCTTTTCTCTTCCTCTTTGCTTTAGTGAAATGCTGGAAAGCCTGCTCTTTGAGCTGAAAGTCTGATTTGCTATTCTAAAACTATTTCAGTCTCAGCCAAGATGGAGTTTGTACATGCGTTTTCTGTAACTGGAACCAACTCACATTAGAGGGGGAGTAAAGTATATGATTCACAATAAGGAATTGCTGCCTTTGAAATCACTTCCTACTATAATACTGGCCACTTCATTACAGTGGTAATTAGAAAGAAAAAGAGAAAAAACCAGAAATGGCCATTTCAAGGGGAAATTATTGCTTAATTTCCAAGACTGTTTTAATGGATGCAACACTGGCAGGATTTTATATTTAAATTGCAGACTGAAGAACGATAAGACTAGTGTTTTAGATCTGTCTTCTAAATGAAAACACTAAATGCAGCGTGTGATGAAAAAGTGTCTGATGACTGAATACATCCCTTAAAGTCAAATATATTGTCTTTGAGGGAGAGTTTAGAAAAATAAACACGTGTATGTAGGTAGGCATGTGTACATGTAAGTTATGTTCATTTAATTCATCCCTAAACATTATAGTTTTGCTTTGCCTTTTTTTCCTTTGGAACTTTGTATAAATGGAATCATACAATTTATATTCTTTTGTACCTATGTTCTTTATTCAACTGTATAAATGTGAAATTTATTGGTTTTCATATTCATCCCATTATATGTATTTACCACATTTCCCCTCCCATTCTGCTATAGGTAGCTCCTGTATCTGGGTGGCTTTCAGTGTTTGCTTTTATGAATTATGCTGCTTTCAATATTCTTGTGTGCTTTGATACATATATGCACACATTTCTGTTGTTATGTGTGTGTGAGTGGAATTTCTGAGTCATTGGGTATACATATATTCAAATTTGGTAGAAAATGCCAAATAGCTTTCTGAAGTGGGTGTATCAATTTACATTTCTACCAACGGTGTATGAGAATTACTCCTTCTCCACATGGTTGTCAATATTTAGTAGTTATGATCTCTTTAATTGTAGCCTTTCTGGTATGTTTGCAAAGGACTTCCACTTGAGGTTAAATTTATATTTCCCTGATGACTAATGAGGTTGAGCACCTTCACATGTTTATGGTCATTTGGATATCATCTTTTGTAAACTGTCTCAATTCGCTTCTCAACTTTTGTATTGGGCTGTCTTTTTTCTTATTGATTGTGGAGGTTCTTTTTCTGATTTGGGATATGAGCTCCTTCTTGGTTATATGTGTGGAAATTTCTTCTCCTACTCCATGGCTTGCATTTTTACTTTCTTGGTGATATCTTTTTGTTTAAAAAAAATTATTTTGAATTAATTTCAGATTTACAGAAGAGTAGAAGAGTATAAATAGCTCCCACATGCAGTTGACCCAGCTTGCCCTAGTATTAACATATTTATCAACCATAGTAAATACTTTTCAAACTCAGATATTAACATTGGTATGATACTATTAACTAAACTAGAGTTTAATGAGATATCACCAACTTTTCCACTGTTCTCTTTCCATTCCAGGATCCAACTCAGGATACCATGATGCATTTGGTTGTCTCCTTAGCCTCTGTGGCATTTTCTCAGTCTTTTATTGTTTTCCATGTCCTTGACACTTTTAAAGACTGATCAGGTATTTTGTAATATGAACCTGAAAAGTTGTCCTAGAATTCTTCCTTTCCCTATATTCCCCCTTCCCATATTATTAATAATCACCTCCTAAATATCTCTAATATCTGTTCCTTCTTCTCCAGCCTCAACTCCCTAGTGCTTCTGTAGGTCCTCAAAATGTCTTACTTGGACTTGCTTAAATAGTTCTATCACACTTCATACATATTCATATTATAGAAATTACTTTCCCATAATTCTGTTCTTGTCTCTCTCCTCACTCTGAGACAACTGAGGGAGGGAACTATGGCATTTATATGTGTATCCTAATATATTCTAAGAGGCTTGCAAATCACTCAATACATATCTGGTGAATGAATGAATGTGACTTGGGTCAATGGATGTTGTCACAAAAAAGCAAGCACAAAAAAGAAAAGCCTACTATTTCCCCATCATTACAATTGCTGATAATGCATCCTTTTCAGTGGAGGGGTCGTGTAGGTCCATGGTTTGTTATTTATTAACCTTTCTGAAAAGGCAGTTCAGATGGGACTATTAATTTGAGTGGACTTGTGTCAATGTCACTTTAAAATAGAGCTAAACCATTTATGATCATCTCTGCTCTCGAGAAAAAATCCTGTGTTCATGCAGCTATAATGAAGTCTTCTGACATTATAGCCACCTTATCTGAATATTTATATCTATTTGGAAGATAATAGTGAAATCATAATACTATTGAAGTTGTATGCCTAGAAAAACTTAGCATCATGTAATTTGAATTTTGAATATTATAATTTCAAATTATATACTTATTAACAAAACTATCTTAAGAAAACTCAGTTCTGTGGTGAAGGATTTTAATCATCCCTTTTTCATTTTTTTAAAAAGATTTTATTGGGGAATTGGGGGAGGGGAACAGCATTGGGGAATTGGGGAAGGGGAACACACAAATTGCTGTTCTTTGGCTTTTCAGTCTAGTTGTGGAGGACGTCGCTTCACTGGCCCATATTGGTATTGTGATCATTGCACTCTTCCCGGCTGAGGCAGATGAGTCGCCGGCCACTGGATGGCGGCTCACGGTGGCTCTTGGCAGCTCACCCTGGCTGTGGGCTGCTCACGCTGGCTGCTAGCCACTCGCAGTAGCTTATGGCAGCCCACTGCAGCAGGGACTGCAGCCTACACCGTCACTGGCGACTCACCGCAGCCCAGCTCCAGGTCCAGTTGTTGTTCACCATCTTAGCTGTAGAGGGCAATGTCACTGGCCCTCATGTGGGATCAGAACCGCGGCCCTGCTGCTCAGAGCTGGCGTCCCAAGCCAACTCTTAACCAACACGCCACTCGGCTGGCCCAATCATCCCTTTTTCAATGTGGTGGATAAAGTGTAGTGAAATCAAGCAACTGATGCTAAATCTCATCACGTTACTGACAATAATTCAGGAGTATTGATTCTTAATTCTAGATTCTCCTCTTGCTCATGGTGGTAACACTATCTCCAGCTAACATAGATGAGTCACATAAAATCATTAAGTATGACTTCTGATCTGGCTCTTACATGCCATATTTTTCAATTCCCCTTGTTAATTACTTTTAATCTTTACACCAGCTTTAGGTTTAGTCCCACCTTAGTCTCTTGCTGGGGGAGACAAATGAATCTTGGAGTTCACAGTTTAGCAAGTCAGATTCCATTTGGTTCTCCTCTGACCTTGAAGCCTACATTCATTTTTTCCCTTATTTTATTAAGCTTCTGCCATGTGTCCCATTTCCAGTGATGTCTTCTCAGCCTTGACCACACTAGCCGTGGCTCCTTGTTCAACACTTCTATTGAAATTCAGATCTTGCCCAGTCCTTTGATTCTATCTCCAACCCTTAGTTGCTCCTAAACGCTTCTCCCTACAATTGAGTCCCATTACCAACTGGTCAACTAAGTGCCTACCTGTAAAACAGGGCCATGTCACTGATGCATTGGTAGATTGGCTGATCAGGGACACCGGGCAGACTATCCCTTCTCCTTTTCCCCCTATATGTGCACCCCTTCTAAAGCATGGTTGAGGAGGCCAGTCTCCTGAGATGGATTAACAAGTACACCAGCAAGATTGACCACTACAGCCCTTCCTTGGAAAATGTCTTGCTCAGTTTAAGTGGGCCAGAGAAGGAAGGTGGTAAGTCCTTCAGGAAGACACAGAACAAGTGGACAGGGTGCCAATCCTAGCCTGGTGATGTGGTGGCTGCAGAGGGTGGAGGTTCAGGAATGGCAGGTTAGCAAACAGGCATTAGGATCCAGCGTCAAAGAAACTGGATTCAGGTCTGTTGTGCCGCTTCCTACATGTGAACCTGAGGCAAGTCATTGATCTTGCTGAGGCCTGTTTCCATGTCTGCACAACAAAAATGATCTCTGCCTTTCTTATTTCATAGGGTTTTCTACAAGTGACGCTTCCTCCACCGTGCACTAGACCACAGACGAACTGGGGACTCTTAAAAGGTACGTGAATAGGCATCATCTCCAATAAGCAAAACTTTTAAGGTGAAGTAATTTTCCAATCTCAAACAATTATACGTATTAACACCAATCTTATCTAATTAACCATAATATGAACTTTAAGTTTATTGTAATGACTTAATTCTATTTTATATTTCCTTAATTTCCTTCCAAAAGATTTTAAATCTATACTCAAATTGTTAAACATTTTACAACTCATACTGCTTAAATGTGGAATTTTACCAATTTCAATTGGTAAATGAACCAGTATTTTAAAAATTAAATCAAACTAGAAGCCAGCAAGCTTTTTTTATATGGATTGGAATGGTAAATCGGAGAATAGTTAGTTAAATCATTGACACAAAGAATTGGGAGAAATTCCCTTTTAATTAGTCTTGGCTCCTGTCAAGATGGTGAATTAGCATAGGCTTCTTAAAACCCTGTAGAAACTATTGAAGAGAGGGGGAAGGAGAGGAGGAAAAAGAGGAGAAAGTGAGAGGTGGGCAGGAGACAGACAGACAGACATATAAATTCTAGGAAAAACAAAACTTTACCAAAAAGTAAGATGTGCTGGGAAGGCTGAGGCTTGATAACATTGGAGTGTGGACTACATGTGGAGGAGGGAAGCATTGTGTGGAGGGAAACTGCCAACGCCTATGCTAAGGTGTGCAATTATTGTAAAAAAAAAAAAAGGCAACTAAAAAACATCTATCACTAAAGACAGAATGATTAGGACAGAGAGCTCAGGAATTTAAAATAGCCATAATATAGTAGTTCCCCCAATCCACAAGGGATTTGTCCCAAGACACAGTGGTTGCCTGAAATCAGAGAGAGTACCGAGCCCTATATATGCTGTTTTATTCCCAATACATGAGTATATATCCTACACAATTAAGATACATATTAATAAACTTTTTCAGAACATATTAAAAACTAAATTCCCAAATGCTCATATTCTGTTGGGTCAGAAATGGAACACAATATATACTTGAATTGCCTTTTATTCCTTTCATTGTAACTGGTATTAGAAGATGAGTCCTGCGATGAGATCTATAATAATCAGACTCCAAGGTCTCACTTCTATCATCATCATGAATAATTATCCACATTTCTTTACTTGTTTCATCTATTTAAATCTTATCAATTGTGTTAAACGGATTAAAATGGTCTAATTAACTATGTTTGAGAAATTTGGGGGGTATCGCAGGATTAAGATATTTAATAAAACACATTTTGTGATTAAAGTCTCAGAAGAATCCCTTAAGTGTTAAGTCCTACTTCCTGAACCCCCTGTAATGCAGTTCATTCTGAAGCTGCAGTAAATCACTGAAGTGAACATTTTCTTCATAATGTCACTACAAAATAGCATAAAAAATATTCTAACTACATGCCATGAAATTAAAACAACAGACCATGACTGTAGGAAATTATGGGCTTATCTTACTTTTGTGAAGATTTTTAAGAAAGTAACATTTATAGAGAAAGTAATGAATATTAAATGTTTTATAAACCTACAATGATTAAGGGACTCTTTTCACTTATATCAGCAACTGTGCAATGTCAGATTTCTGTTACGTTTGGACAAAGAGACTCTGAGAGACTCTTAAATCTAGTCAGGTCACACAGAATGAAAAGTTTGGAAAGCAAATGGGAGGAAATCAGGTGAACATTATTCAAATATTTCAAGATGTCCTGAGATTGAAAAGTCTGAGGTTTATACTCTGAAAACTTGATACTCAAGTGTGGTCCACGGACCACAAGCATCAGCATCTTGTTGGAGCAAAATCTCAGGCCACAGCCAATCCTACAGAATTAAAACCCTCCTTTTAAAGATCTCCAGATGATTCGCATGCACATTCAAGTTTTAGAATCACTACCACTATGGAGAATTTTTTTTGAAACTTATTGTTAATATAATACTCCACGACTAGAAGAAAACCAACAGTTATGTATTTTTATAGAGATCACAGCAAATCTTCTCTTAAGGAACTCTACAAGTCTTCCTTAAGAATGAAAGTTATAATTGATTCTTTTTTGCATCTTCGGCATCCCATATAATGCCTGGATCATATTTGGCCCAGTGAGAATGAAGGAATAAATGATATTAAATAAAAACAGAGCAGCCAAGTCCGTGATGCCACACAATTGATAAAAAGGTTAAGATGGTTGGTTCTATGGGCAAGTACAAGGACATTCAATAGGGATACATGAAAACAGAATAAGTGAAAATATGAAACATTTTTGCTCAAACACATAATAGGAAAAAAATCATGTGCTTAATTAGGAAGCACACAACAAAGGTTTTGAGCATGATACCGTGTTTCCCCAAAATAAGATCTAGCTGGAGAATAAGCCGCAGCACGCTTCCTCCAGGATATGGAGGGTTTTATGACCTATTTCAGGGAGAAGGGTGCCTTTCCCATAAACTCCTTCAGCTTAAAATATTCAGTATGCCAAGGTGCCATATTTTGGCACCTAAAATCATGCTATGGCTTGTTTTCCAGCTAGGTCTTATTTTGGGGGAAACAGGGTATGCATAGCCTGATAATTTGATAACCGTGTAGTTTACAGAGCAAATGTGATATTGGAATGCACACATATTTTCATTGGCCCATCATCCTGGTGAAATGTTAGAATTCTGTGCTCTTCGGCCAAGAAAGAATATAGAATGTAAAGTGGATTTAAGATAAAAGTCACTTAAGAAAATTAAGAGGCAGAGAATACTAATAACTATTTAAAAACATTTGTTAAGCATAGAGCTTGCAGCACAATTTCGCCTGGAGTTAGATCAGGCTTCACAGGGTATAGGCAGTCTCCACAGGCTGTCTTCAATGGAGACGCCAGCTGCAAGCTCCGAGGTTCCCTGGCTACCTGCAGTTACCAACTGGCTACAAATTCAAGGGGTTCTCACTATCTCCTCAGGACTGTTAGAACAACTCACAGACCTCAGGGAAGCACTATAATTTCCATTAGTTTTATTTTATAAAGGATACAAGTCAGGACCAGACAAGAGAGCCAGGGGCAAGTTTGGGTAGAGTTACAAGCACGAAGCTTCCACGTCTTCAGGGTGCTTCACCCTCCTGAAACATCACTGTGTATCTCCAACCAGGGGAGCTCTCCCAAGTCTTGGTGTCCATGGTTTTTATTGGGGTCTCACTACACAACCATGACTGAATCACTGGTCACAGGATTGAACTCAATCTCCAACCCTCTTCCTCAGAGGTTGGGCTGAAATCATATGTCTCAAACTCCCAACCCTACAGTCACGTCGTTAGTCTTTCCAGCATGACCAGCCTCCACCCTGGCACCATCTAGGGGCCCACCACGAGTAACACACACTCCAATCACTTGGACAATTTCAACGATCAGAGGGTTGCTTCCAGGAACCAGGGACAAAGGTCAGCCAAATTCTTTATTATAGAACATGGCCTTGGAGGGTTCTGGCTAGGCTGATTTACCGCTAGGTCAAATCTTAATATAGTGATCTAACAAGTTAGCCAGATTCTTCCGGTATATTATTTTCTGCACCGAGTATTTTGCCAAAAAAGTGGAAATATGGCAAAATTCAAAACATCAAATATTCAATCTTTTTTGGTCTAATGGTATTCTTTGATGATTAGTCTTCGTGACAGATATTTACTGAGTGTCTACTGTACGATAGGCACCTAATGTGAACACAGCTGAAGAAACAATTTATATCTATATACTGCTTAAAACAAATATATCCCTCTGTATTTAATGCTCCAATCAAATGATCCTTGCTTATTCATTTAAGTATGTCTCACAAATTCTTTATTTAGAGACACTTTATCGCTCATCATGTTACTTTGGGGTAAATATTCATAGTGGGGTCCAATGGACAGGAAATATGCTTTGGAGTATGACAGAACTTGGCTTGAAACCCAGTCCCATCTCTTAGCAGTTATATGCTTATGAGCTAGGAGTACTGACTCTGGTCCTCAACTCTGCATCGGCGAAAAAGAGAACAAGAATAATCACATCTCCGTAGAGAGGAAACACAGTAGTTAAGGGCATGGACTCAAATCAGACTGCGTGACAGACAGCTCTGGCTCTTTCTAGCTATGTCAGGTTAGGAATGTCATTTCTCCCTCTGGCCACAGCTTCCTCATCTGTAAAACGAGGATAATAATACTTACCCTTATAGGATGATAATACCCTCATAGAGATGTTGTGCGGATTAAATAAGTTACTGCATATGAAGCCCTTATAATAGTACCTGACACCTAATAAGCACTTAAACATTAGCAATTGCAGTTCTTATTTTTAATTCCTTTGTGATTACTTATTTTGGTTTTTGGGATGACATAATATTAATGAAAGATCATATAAAATCTGGCACAAATACACATTCAAACATTCATTTCCTTTACTACAAAAATTATTCTATATTTCAGTCTATATTCATTAAAACGACTCCATGGATATAAATAAGTCAAGTTTATCTCCACCTGATGGCAGGTAAAAAAAGGAAATGGAAATATAAAGGGTTAAACTGGAAAGCTGATTTCTAAACAGCGCTAAACTGTTTAAATTGGGGGGGGGGTTGAGATGAGAAGTTTGTAATAGGCATAGTAGTAAAATATTAAAACAGTATGAAGATAAAAGAATGCCCTGATAAGTTAAAATTATAATATTTTTTCAGGGATTTGGGAAAATAGACTTTTTTAAAAGCACAGATCCTTATTGTTTTAGAAATTAAGGCAGCATACTAAAGTGAAAATTAAGATTCCTTTCATTTTAAAATATGAAAACTTGTAAGTGATTAATTACTATTTGAGGGAAAAAGACACATAGTATTTTAACATATAATAAATGAAAATCAGTCAGAATTCTTTATGCTAGATCCTTAAATTATCCTGTTGTACCCACATATGCACATAACAGGTTAAAGTCACCATCAGAATACAATGGAATTTTAAGAACTGAGATTAAATATTCCAAGTATATTATACTGACAAAATACAATTGATATTGCCAATAGCACAGATCCTGAGCTATTTTAACCAACACTACTTACATTGAAAATGAAGATTAACAGGATTTTTAAAAATACAGTGGAAGCAATTCCAAAACTCACTGCTAAAAAAACAGGGCCACAGTCTTTATGAGTTAGATTCAAAACTGTGCAAACAATATACTGTATACATTTGCTATATCTACTTATATTTCTTAAATTTACCCTATTTCATCTTCAACCTGCCAAATTAATTTCCATTTTTATGAGGAAAAAAAGACAATTTTATTATTTTATAATCATTTAAGACACCAATTATTTTTCCTTCAATTAGAAAATCCAAAAGATTAAATCTATTAGCACTTCTTTGCCAAATGGCAGCAAATTTTTCTTGTGCTACATACTTACAGGAGGCAGTATGACAACTTCTTTTACTATATTGTCTGTATTTTACAGAAAACTTAAAACACTTTTTCTCTAAAGAATACTTTTAAATTATCTGAGAAAAGCCTAAGTTTTAGAGTTTATGTAAAGCCTTTCTCTACCCTTCAGTTCCCTTGATAACAAAATTCTATCAATACCTTCTTTAAAAAAAATCACAGAATAATTTTTATTTATAATGAAGTTATTCTCTCTAGACTAAACCATCAGTTCACTCTTATAACAGAGAATCAATTTAAATAACACCACCAAAATGGAATGAAAACAGTCTATTATATATCAATTTCTTTGATATGTCATGATATCTAATTAGTCTTGCAACATGGTCCAATCCATTTCCAGTGAAATTCTCGATAAACTGCGAAGACAGTCCTTCATATTGACATTTTATTCTAAGGTGTGACAGATGATGCGCTCTTGATTGCTTCAGAAGTCACACAGTCAAACAAGAGCTCTGAGGAAAAGGGCTGACTTCATACGCAATCCAGTCGCAAACAGATAGCGAGCCTTCAGTTCTTATAATAATAAGAGCCTTTGGTTTTTATAATAATCCCTTTGGAAAGGTAATTAATTGATGATTGTTCCTTGGAATTCTAGGTTAAACAGCATGAATTGCTGCCTATACAGTCTGTGCCAACGTCCGTGACTTTCTTGCTTCTACTATTTTGTTTATTAGATCATATAGTGACGGTAGTCTTATTTTATCCATATTTTTGCTGTAAACATTGAGAAATATACCAAGGACAACTAACAAACCAGACCATATGTACCTAAGAGAAAGAAATATGGAAAAATAGATTAATATTAAGGTGACAATTTATTATTAACCACAGAATTTGGTGATGAGTTCACAAAAATTACACAATAAAATGAAATTTTACTACTGGAAGCCTACATTAAAATAAAAATAGCAATTTTAGATCAGATTAGTCACAGGAGTCCAACTAGTTATCCCAGTTGGATAGAACATACAGAGATAAAAAGGGGCACATCCTGAGAAAAGTGAATTGGCCAAGATTACTATGATGTATACCTACCACATATAGAAGGAGAAACTAATTATAGAAAACAAGTAACACGCAGAATTTTGTTGTTACCTTTAAGTTTATACATTGATCATTTCTAGGTTTGAATCTTTTCAATTCCTAACCAATATAAGTTTAAATGATGCTAATATCAAACACATCCCAGACAGTAAAGAAAACAGTAAAGGCTTTCACAAAAAGCCACAAACGAACTAAATAATTAGGGCACAACTTACAGGATACTTCTCTACCTCAACTACTTTGTGGGAAAAGGCAGCAAATAAACCGACAATTTAAAAAACTACATGTATTCTTGAAAGTGATTAAAGTTAAAAAGCACTCATTTCCCCAGTGATTGTATCTCTAGGGATTCATCCTGCAAATACCAGGGTGTCAAAAAAATGTATACACATGACTTGCATTCATTTTTTGTTATTGGTATACAATGAGTATTATAATTTTAACACAGTTTTTTCCTTTCTTAAAATGTGTATAGGGATGGCCAAGTGGCGTGTTGGTTAAGAGTTGGCTTGGGACATCAGCTCTGAGCAGCAGGGCCTGGTTCAGGTCCCACATGAGGGCCAGTGACACTGCGCCCTCTACAGCTAAGATGGTGAACAACAGCTGGACCTGGAGCTGGGCTGGCATGAGTGGCCAGCGACGGCGTGGGCTACAGTGGAGCTGCAGTGGGCTCCCGTAAGTTACCGTGAGCAGCTAGCAGCCAGCATGAGCTGCCAAGAGCCACCGTGAGCGCTGTCCAGTGGCCGGCAACCAAACTGCCTCACCTGGGAAGAGCGCAATGATAATACCAACATGGGCCAGTGAAGCAACGTCCTCCACAACTAGACTGAAGAACAAAAAAGGCCAGCAACTTCTCTGTTCCCCTTTCCCGATTCCCTAGCCCTGTTCCCCTCCCCTAAATTCCCCAATAAAATCTTTAAAAAAAATGTGTTTTGGCACCCTCTGTATACTCACATGAATGTATGTATAGATAGTTATTGCAGGAATTTTTGTAAAAGCAATAGCTGGAAACACCCTAACTCTATACAATTAGAGGGCTGGCTAAATAATTTTGTATAATCATGCTATGGACTACTTTGCCTCTGTTTATGTCTCAGATACATCATTAAGTAACACACGGGCAGCAGAGTATATACAGTGGAACCTTAGGTATTAAAAATATACATCCTCTCCTTGCTTTCATTAAGGTAAAATTGTATTTCTACAACCTGTGTTAAAGTTTGTTTTCCTATTTATTGGAAAAAAATATATTTGAAAAACCACAAAAGCAGAAAAGACGAGTTTGCAAGTATCCTTATTTTTAGACACCATTATACAGTACATATGCAAACAGAGATTGCAAAGAAAACACAGTGAAAAGAGACCTGGCGAAGATGGACAGAACAGTACGGTAAGGGAAAAGATTGTAAAATACAAGTGATTGTATTTAACAGCCAAAGAAATGCTAGGTGCTGTTTACCTGATAATTTTAAAAAGATATTAAAATTTACCCAAATCTGGTCAGATGATGAGAGAAAAAGTGGCAACAAGAAAAAATATTTCCATGTCTCTTCAGTTTCCTTTAGATAGAAGTTGAAGTCTTTTTTTTTAAATATAAGCCACTATTAGCACAAAGAAAATAGTTCACTCAAACTTATGATAAACATATCAAATATATAGTTAGAATAAAATTTACTGTTTATGATAATCAATTTGATAAAATTTTGATAATCAAAATTTATCAAACTTATAACAAATTAACTTTATCTCAGGACTCACAGCATGGAGGTTGCCCAGTGGCTAGGCCCAGGTCACAAATCTAAACCTAAGTCAATCTGCACTTAAGGGAAAACTCACTGTCGAGGAAACCTACACACAGCAGTCACAATCCTCCAATTCAGCTTTAGTTAGCTTAGCTAACTCTAGAAAATGACCTGCTAGCCTTGGAAGGATATCCCTGACCTCCTCGCCAATACTGCCCAGTTTCAGTGTTGCCTCTTATAACATTGTATACATCTCACTGTTGCCCAAGATCCCTAGGGAAGAGGCTCTACTGCTTGTGAGAGACTGTACTCCCCATCCATGGATTGTTTTCCCTTGAGCAAAGGACATCAAATTTGCTGCTAAATTGTATTAGTTTTGTCATTGGACACTTCCATTAAAAAATAAAATAAACTACATATACAATATATATGTAGTTACACACACACACACACACACACACACACACACACAATTTATATATTTGCACTAGGGCAAGGGGGAATGAACCCCTTAATCTCAACACATCATTCACATTCATTTACTTATATTGCGAACAGGGTCACATTTACACTGAGACTCTGGTTAGTCAACTTAAGTGTACAAAATGATTTCTTCAAAATAGTTACATTTCTGAAACAGTAGAAGACAATAAATTAGGGATCAAGATGAAAAATCGTCTTTATAAAGGGTTAAGGCTGTTTAAGAGGAAACAGAATAAAGTATCTAAAAGCAGGGAAACTTGTCAAATTAAAAAGTACTTACTGAAGTGTGAATGGCTTAGCAAAGAATATAAATGAAAGTACAATGGTCATTGCTTTTCTTCCTGTTGTCACTGTAGGGAGAGAATGGTTGGTTTAGAATGTGCCTACTATCTTGGAAATATTTTGGAAATCATTCATTCAATACATATTTACAGAGCCTACTATGTGCCAGGATCTATGCGAGGTGAAAAAAACAACGGAAAGCAAAAAAGAAACAAGGAGTCACTGTTGCCACTCCTATGGAGTTTATAGTCTAGTACGGGTATGGTCACTAAGTAACAGGGAAATGATAAAGTACAGCTGTAATAATTGCTTGATGGAGGTAGGTCATCCCTTAGATTTACTTTAGCAGGAAAGAAAGGCTTTCCCCCAAAGAAGATACGATGAGGTAGAGCAAGTGTTATCCTTTAAAAGTAGTACTCTAAAGGCATAATACCTTAATAGTGGTCATCTCTAGATAAGACGATGAATCTTCTTTACAATCCTCTTTACATGTCTGTATTAACTTTTACTTGCCCTTCAAGTTATGACCTTGAAGTCTGCTACAAGGCCTGAAACCTTTCCTTCCTTCTCCCACCCAGGCAGAGATAGGAATGCTGTATATATCTCCCATTTTAGGTCCTTATATCCCCAGACTCTATAGTTCCCAGCATTTAATGTTCATTGCCTGAATGAATGAACACCAAATCAAACTTTTGGAACATGTGCTGGAGCCTTATTCCCCAAATCTATTTTTCCTTTTGCTTTAGTAAAAGGACCCCTATTTTAACATGGCATGCCTTCCAGCCTCTCCTACAGCTAGGTGTGGTCCTGTGGTTAGGTTCTGGCCAACGAAAACGTGAGCAAAATATTGTCTCTAGGAGTGTGATTTCAAGGATGTTTCTTTCATCTTCTCTCCATCCACCTGAATGAGGATGAAGATGGCACAGCATACAGAAGGAGCCTAGGTTCCTAATGAGCGTGGAGACACCACACCAGCTCAGGAACAGTATATATAGCTTGTGGGTTAAGAGCACAGGTCTGGCACCATACTAGCTCAGTTGGAATTCTGACTCTGCAACTTATGAGCTAACTGACTATTGGGAAAATCAATTAACATAGCCTCTCTGTGCCTCAGTTTACCTATTTGCAAAATGAAACAATAATAATGCCTACTATATAGGATTATTTCAAGATTAACATAAATAATATATGTAAAATACAAAAATGGAGCCTGGTACATAATAATGGCTAGTACATGTTACCTATAATTATTATTACCACCTCTGAATTTCTTTTACAAGAGAACTATAACTGGCCTGCACTTTCAAGACAAGAATGGTGTCTCACATTTCTCAATACTAACCACAGGGCTCAATCAATACATACCAAATGATATCAGACCCTTTTTAAACAGTGTTACAAGCAAAATTGGAACCCAGCTAAACATATGAATTTGCAATCTTTTTTGACAGCATGAGATGACTTGAAAGATTAGTGATATGGTCTTATCTGCAATTAAATTCCCTCTATATACTGCTAGGGATATAAACTTTAAAAATGAGAGTAGTATGTGAGCAAATAAAGAGAAAAGTTAGGAAGCAAATATACTTTTACAAAGGAAGAGGTATGTGTGTCTATTTGTTTAATTTACTCTGTGGTGTTAACCTAAGTAGTCCCCTAAAATCACAGAAAATTAAAATCAGGTAAATGACTAATGTATATATTCATTATGGATGCAATTATATTGATCTATGCTAGAGATGATCAAGTCCATCAACCCGTCACCACACAAAAGAGAAATGAGGCCCAGGGAAGAGGAGAGACTTACTCTCCAGGTCACACGTCATTAAATGTCAGAGTTAGGACTGGGCTCCACCCGCTCTGACATCGCAAGCCAGCGCTCTTCATGACATGCCACACTGCTTCCAATCCTGGCTTCAGGGCTCTCTCCATATGGGAGACGCCAGGAGCATTCGTCATTTGTGCCATTTGTTTGGCAAACGATACAGGTAGCACAGGAAGTCACCTGCTGCCCTCACTCCTCCAAGCAGAACAAATACAACTTCCATTCCTCTAAAGTGCAAGGAAAGTCCCTGCACAAAGCAGGTGCATAATAATTATTAGTGAAAAGAGAAGCTCATCTGGTTGATGTCCCAGAAAGTGTACAAGAGAAAGGTCCAAAAAGCTTTGTTTAAAATACACCTGTCATACTTTACATGCAACAAACATGGAATGTTTAGTTAAAGTGTATAAAGGCAGTAATGTTCTCTGAAGGTATTCATCCCATCATACTTTTTAATAAAAAGTTCTTTTAATGTATTTAAAAGTTACTATTTAGATATATATTTGATTTTAAAATTAAACCTTTAATAAGAAATTAAGATCCAACATCATTTTTCTCTAGAATTTTAAAGAAATACCATAAGCCAAGAAATAAATCGGTGAAATATGACAATTTTCTTTCTAATGAAGAGTAAGGTGCTGCCCTTACCATTTGTAAAAGAGTATCAGAAGAAATTTAAGTGTTTATTTCTTAATCTAAGCAAGTATATCATTCCTACCTGTTACAGCAAGAAGTGCACCAAAAATTTTAATCAAAGCCAGAACAAAGGAGATTCCAAAATACCCAGTGAGGGAAAAAAGGAAAGCATAACCGTAGGTCCGAAATAGATTCTGCAACATACAAGAAAGCCTGTTAGAAAAACGCCAAACAAACCCTGAGGTATTACAAATGAAATAAAACCACAGATTTTAATCAACTTCTTGAGCAATAATAAGCCATTCGACAATGCAGTCAAGCAAAGATTTTTATTTAGTTGTGATTTAATGGAAAAATAATGATGAAATTTAAAATCCACAACTTCCACACCATGAATAGCTTAAAAATTAACTTAGAGGGTAGAGTAAAGATAAAATAAATTTAAATATAAATCACTGCATTTTTTAAATAATTTCTGATCTGTATATAAAGGAGATATCAAATTACATAGTCTTTTTGAACAAAGGGAATTAGAAATATAGAGAAAACTATTTAATGGAAGATGTTTATTTTTTAGAATGTGATTAGTGTTTACCTTTGAACAAAATGTTACTGCAGGGCCTAATCCATTAGTGCATGTCAATCCGAATAAAATATACACAAAACCGATTGAATACGAATACAAAACCTAGAGTAGATAAAAATAAAGTGGAAAAGTGCTATCAAACCAAAGGTGGAAAATGAAGGATTTTCAATATGTGGCTCAGTTTATCTATTCAATTAAATTTGTAGAACAAATCACTTTTAAAGTAACATCATTGTTTCGACATGGGTTGATTTTCTGGAAATAATGGTTGATCCTGTTTATAAGTCTATACCTTATTTCATGAAGAGTATAACACATCAGTACTGATCTTTCCATATATGGTTACATAATTATTCATTTTTTGCCTGGCTTAATTACTGAATTCAAACCAGATTTTAATGTTAGGATTCTAAAAACATACATGAACAAACAAACTTTAAAGCTACTTATTAAACATGAAAAAAAACCCCAAACATTGTTTGCAGAGACATTAAAATATAAGGAAAATAAGCAGTATATGGCATATCTATTTTTTAATGTCCCAATTTTCTTACCAATCTTTCTATCCCAGTCTATGATACTCCTCATAAGCACAATCACCATCAAAATCAAACTTAAGGACCTGCTATGTGTCAGGTACTGTGCTAATAATGCTCTATATAGATTATTCCACTGATTTCTCACAACCAACCTATGAAATAGGTTACTTTTAATCATCATTTCACAATTTGTGGATGAAGAAACTAAAAATAGAGACACGAAGTCATTTTCCCCAAATAAGCGCACTAGTAAAGCTGGGATGTGAACTGAATGAAGCTATCTTAGACCAGAGCCTATGGCCTTAACCACTGCATTACATCACCTTTCTAATTGCCTACACTTCCTTCATCCTCTCACCTTTACCTTATCTGGGAAGAGTGGTGATGATGATCAAGAAAACTCTGACCAAGATTAAAGTCCCTGTGTTCCTAGGGACTCCTTAGAGTATCCCCAGCCTGCTGACAAAGTCGCAGGAAAGGCCAGTCCTGTATACCCTTAATGCAATGTATTCTGTCTGTCTAGCAAGGTGGTTGGCTGTAACATTCACGTAGACACACGCACAGCAGCTTTCCTGTATACAAATACCAACCAGTTAGAAGGTATGTTGGAAGAAAAGGCATTATTTGTAGTAACAATGGCAAAAATGTGAAACACCTAACAAGAACTTCAAAAAAAAATATGCTGGACTTATATGAAGAAAATTTTAAAATCTAAGGGACATTTTAAAAAGAACGCTTGAATAAAAGGAAAGTCATACCTTATTCTTGGACTGAAAGAATCAAGGGTATAGATGCCATTCTCCCTAATTTAATTTATAATTCAATGCCATACCAATCACAATACCAATGGGATTTCTATTTTTTTGGGGGGATATGAACACCAAGAATAACTACTGGTAGTAACATTCTGAAAAACAAAAGGAACAATGATGGCTAGTCCTAACAGATGGTAAATGTATGATAAAGCTGCTGTCATCACATGGTTCTGGTGCAGAAATAGATTCAACAGAATACAATTCTGAACTCTACGTTAGAATATGAAATAGTAAAGAAGGCACTTAAAGTAAGCTGAAAACACAGATTATTCAATAAATGATACTGGGCCATATGAAAGGAAATTGTTAAAAAGTTTTAGGTGGATCAAAGATTTAATAAAAGAAGAAATCATAAAACTAGGAGACAACATGGGTAAAATTCTTAAATCTGAGTCAGGAAAGCCCCTTTCAATCATAATACATAGCCAGAAGCCATAAAGGAAAAGATAAACTGGGCTGCATAAAAACTACAAACTTCTAAATGGAAAATAATACCAAATACAAAGAGAGAAGAAAAATTATATAACAAAGGAGTTTTTAATATGTAAAAAACTATATTCACTGAGGAAAAATTTATCAAATACTATACAATAAGCTATTAACGGTGGTAGTAGCATTTTTACATTTTACCTTCCTGTTTGAATGTATCACTTTTACTAACATAATGATAAACTAGTTTAAAAATGCAATGCAACTCTTTGATAGCATAACTATTTCATAAAATGAAGTATACCACCATTTTTAAGTCTGTCTGAAGCGAAGAAAAAAACACTCAAGCACTTACCATTTCCGAGTTAGAAGCATTATGCAGTTTCATGGCTTTCTCTTGAACATTTCCAATGACAGCATCTGCACACAGCGCCAGGGAAATAAGGATCACACCTGCGAGGAGGCAGAAGAAAACAACCTCCTTAAACATATGAATGATAATCAAGATTTATGAGAGATTTAACTGGGATAAAAAGCAAAAGCAGATATTAAATCACATTTTTTTCAGTAAAATGGAGTATTTTTATCCACAACTGGCTAAAACAGGCACTTAGGTGATGTTATTAAAAAAGACAAAACAGTTAACTAACACTGATAAACGACATCGATGCTGTCACCAGTATTGGGTTGCACTATTATGTAAATAATAGCTCTGCTTTAAACCAGATTATCTGTTTGAAAGGAATAATGTATTAACAAATATAGAAGAAACTGTTAGGAGCTATATTGGGATTGGTGGTTAGTCAGTTAATTAAAAAAAATCAGATTAGGAGGAAAAATCATTAAAAAATTACCTATATTATTAAAATGTCTCATTTAGAACACATAAACATACATGCAGTGGCCAAGAGCTTTTCCTTGAGTAGGGGTCCCAACTAAAATTCTGCACTTTCTCTTTTGTTTAACACACATTAACATACATTCTCTATGATTTCCAATTTTTTTTTTTTTTAAAGTACGTCAAAACCTTAGGAACTTCTGATACAATCAGGGAGCAGAATCCTTTCATATTTTTATGATATCCCCCAATTTTTACAGTTCACTGACACCTAATTCCATAGTGATTTTGTTGACTTGTCAACCAAACTGTGTCAATTAACATAGTTTTCACAGAAACAATTCTTTCTTCAAACTTATTTTTGAATGATTCATGTAAATATTTAATTGCTGCATAATTATAATAACAGGTACAAATGGCCTAAACAAGTCCAGGAATCAACACACTCACACAGATGTGCACGTCTACCTGAGAAGCAGGGTCTTAATGCAAGTGTGCAGGGCACTGGTCACCACTGACGGTGCTTTACAGAAAGAAGGAAGAGCAGCCTGGGTACACCTGTTAGTCTGATGGAATTTAAGGGCATTTTCTCTTTTTATTTTTTTTAAGGTATCACCAATCAAAGGTAGTAGAAAAAATATATATACACATACTTGCACTTGAGAATTTTCAAGTTTTCAAATTTATTCTTCAATTTGACTTTTTATCATCTAACTTAGGTATGTAGTACCTAAGCATACATTTTTATTCGCAAACTTGATTCTGAACCCTCTTTTACTTGTTTCAAATATCAAATCTGTCCTCAAAGGAAGAAGACACGGTATTTATTGTTGAAGATGCTGAAAACAATGGTCTAGCTCTGAAAAGGTACTGGAAGACATTCCAGAAATGTTCTGAACAACGGCAACAGCATAAAATACTTCTATGAAAATACTCAAATTGCATCCTCAGGGGAATGTTTTAAAGGTGGACATTGATTTGAATAAGTCAATCTGATATATTTCCTTTATACAATCAAAGTTTTATTTATATCTATCTTAGCCATTTTAATAGTTTACCTAATTGCCTTTAGATAATATAGATCAGGGATTGTTATAAGTGGTCATCAACTCTTCTTAATAATGTAGTTAGGCTCTAATTCTCTTAAAAAGAGTATTTCCATGGAACTCAGAAAGGGTTAGCACTTAAGCTACAGTGAGAAGTTATAGAACACTCCTTCCATCATTATCATGAAGACCATCATCACCCCACCCCTATCACGTGTATGTGCTTCCACATCCATCATTATATCATCTCATTCTATCCTTTCACTACCTTTGTGTGAGGCCAGATACCACCATTATCTCCGTTTTGTAAGTGAAGCACAAAGGGTCTGGCCATTTAGTCATGGTTATATTTTTAGGTGATTCAAATAGAATTGGAAGCCATGTTTCTGCAAATTCTGTGTGTTCTCTAAAACTGTGTTTTCAACGTCCACAACTATAAGCTTTCACAGAGTAAAACTCACTGAAGTGATGACCGCTTGCACTCTGAATGATCCAAGGTGTAAGTACAGTAGATATAAGAGGTTGTACCAGATCTTCTGGTTGGTAAAGGGCTGCTCCAAAAGGCTGACTGGTTACATTTAAACCCATCAATGTAACCTGGTTAACAAGGTTAGTAAGGAAGGATGACTAATAACTGGTAAGAATATTGAAACTGATGTAAATGATTTTCGTTATGCAATACTTTTGTCCTCATAAATAATTACACTTACTATACTTAGTACTTGCTGATATATACCATGTTTCCCCGAAAATGAGACTGGGTCTTATATTAATTTTTGCTAAAACAACCTATACTTATTCATTTATTCATGTACAAAAATCTACATTTATTCAAACAGTCATGTCTGGCTGACGATCTTAACTGGGGCTTATGTTTGAGGTAAGGCTTATATTACGAGCATCCTGAAAAATCATGCTAGGGCTTATTTTCCAGTTAGGCCTTATTTTCGGGGAAACGTGGTACATACATTTTTTCTGTTCTCTCAGAGTTCCTTTGAAGACTTAGATATTTTAAATACTATTTTTGTCAGGCTAGGAGATGTGATACTAAAATAATCTCATGAGTAAAACTCAGTAGTTAAGAATAACTATATATATATATACATATATATATATATATATATATATATATACACACANATATATATATATATATATATATATACACACACACACACACAATTTCTCCATAAAGTCTTTAGAATGAAAACAAGATTCCAACATATATTTTTTATTCTTATTTATTTATTATTATGATTACTTCGTACTATGATACCTATTCTGCTTGTGAAAAATCTAAAATTAATTTACAGAATTCCACATGGCACACTATGAGGAAACTATGGTGGAAACTTGAAACATGTTAAGGTTATGAACATTATTTATATCACCCAGTTTAATACTGAAGCACAGCATAACTGTCCCTCTTTAGCTAAAACAATGACAAGTAGATGTGCAAGTTTCAATTTAAAAAAAAAAAGAGAATAAAAACAATTACTGTGATTCTCCTATAACTCATATATATATATTTCCAATTCAGCTCATAAGAAATTGATTTATCATGTACCTGACAAGAGAAGATTTTGACTGGGCAAATACATGAGTACTAAAAAACAACTGTTATATTTCCAGAGTTATAATATTTTTACTACATCTTAATTTGAAAGTCTGAAAGCTTTACGTTAGATATGAGAATTACAGATGTCACACCATCATTTAAAATTCTCATGAAACTGTAAAAATTCTTACTCTAAACAAAACCACCTACAAAATCTAGGAAGGCAGTAAAATTTCTTACCTGTCAAGTTGAAATTTGGTGCAATCGTGCTATCGGCTAGGGTAAACCATATCAGACCAAGGCTCATGCATACTGCGGCAGACACATCTGCAACATTATACCGCTTTCCTGTGTAAAACAAAAGTAAGTCAACCTCATTATGCAAAACTCACTTAGCATAGTTTTTGATCTATGTCTTTAACCAAGTTGAGCAGGAATCTGCTTATATCCAGTATCAAAAACATGAAAAACACTTAGGTCATGGCATGAGATAGTCACAGAAAGGCTTTTGAAAATTAAATTACCAATGAGTACCCATATGCCATTATAAGTTAATGAGATTTTATCTGTTGTGGTAGTGAGTAAATATGAACATTTAAAAAGTTTGTGGAAATTAGTGCCTTTTTTTCCTCTACGAATAATATAAAGCAATGAATTTTCTTACAGTTAAGTTTACAAAGTAACCAGAATAATTATTCAGGCTATATTATTGTTTTATTTGCAAACACCATCAAGTAACTTCTAGGCTGGTGAGGATTAACTTATTTTAGAATATCCACATTTATTTCAAATAAAGAGACCATGTAGGGTAACTTTTTGGAAGGCTTGTAAAGAAATATTATACATGCTTAGTCAGTTATGACGTTAAATGTGATTTTTAATAGGGATTGAGATCATTATTTTTTCCTGCATGAACAGTTATCCTGAAGTTATATGTGAAGTAGTTGATGTACATACTTTCATTTTAAAAGGCTTTTTTGGGAAGGCATCCAAGGCATAAAATGAAGTCAAGCTAAGAAGTTAGTGATACAGAAACACTTGATTATGAAAACATGAATATTCCTCATGGCAGTTATATGAACAACAACCTGTTCTGTCGCCTGTTGCTATCACTGCTGCCTCTTTTACTGCTGTTTCCACATAACATAACTTGGTGGGGGCTCTAGGCCCAAAGTACAAGGTGGTTTAAAACTCTAGACATATTTTTTATTACAATAGCTTATGATTCATCTCTAACTCTGTCTGTATTCAGGAAGCCAGCAGAGTTGGTAAACAGGCAGTTCTGATTCATATGAGAATTCTCCATTTGTATAATGGAGGTGGAGAGCGGAGCCCTGAGAGTAGAATGAAAGAATTGAAAAAAGGAGCTTTCCAGGTACTTCTGAGCTAGGCCTTCAATACGTGAGTATAGTATTTCTGGAAATGTAGTCAATTCCAGATTAAAAGAATAAAACAAAATTCTATCTGATTTCAAATTGCTGATTTCAGATACTAAGGTATATCACAGAAGTATCAGCGTTTTTATACCTTATTTATATAAGATAGCATTCAGAATTGTTACAACATCTAGAATGTTCATTAAAAATGTTAACCAGAGTTTAATGCTTTTCCTATGCTAGATGCTGTAACATATCTGCTGGTTTCAAACAGTATGAAAATATGTCATTACTGTACCTTGAATAAAAACTCCTCCTAGCATAACAGGAATCAATTTGCAGCACTTGAAGATGACTTGGGTAGGGTAATTCAGGTAGCCCAAGGAAGTGTTTGATAACCCCATAGTGCCCACAGTTAGAAAAGCTATTATCATGTAGGTTTTTCCTGGTATTCTGTAAAAGACAATTTTTAAAATCTTCATTTTGGGACCCAATTCATGCTATTGTTAGATTATGTGTTTACAACATGTAAATGTCTAATTACTCCTTATTTTTGTTTAATATTTTAGAAATTTTGGTGAACTATTACTATTTTTAAAGTTTTAACAGTTTACTTATATAAAAAAATGTTGGTAAAAATGACAATTCATCCTTAATCAATCATAAGTGAGAAGTCTCAACTGTGTGAAAAAGTAGTACATGAGAAAGTCAGATTCCTACTGAAGGTATAAGGTGTAGAAAATGGTTTTTTAACAGTTCTAGCTATACATAAAAGTTATCTTGATTCAATTTAGAAAATAAGAGTTGAATTTTAGAAAATATTGGCTTCTATGATGGTAAAAGGCACTTTAACTAATTTTTAACTTCTAAATTGTTCTGCTTCCTAATTTTCCATCTAGCATTAGGAAAAATACATCCATCTATTCTGCTGGAGTAACCTGAGCAGACTTTCTTTAGAAAAAGTACATGGTGGTTTAAAACTCTACATAAAATTTTTATTACCACAGTATCTTATGATTCACCCCTCTATATTCTATAAAATGTTAAAATAATCAACATTCAGAAGATGACTCTCTCTCCTTATGATCCCAAATCTTCTACTTTGGTTCTATGTGGATTTCTTAAAAAAGATTCTTAATTTGGCATCTTCAGAATTTTGAGCTGTCACTGCAAGCATACGCTCACTTTGACTAGATATTTAATGGTCTAAAATAATAATCTCATACACTGGTGTGACTAACACAGGAAGCACTATCCACATAATTAGATTATGGTGCATACTTAGATCAAGTTGCATTTTGGGATTTGCGTTCATGTTTAAATCAAGGCAACACAATTTTAAAATACTTTTTATATGGCTAGATGTAAAACAAGATAATTTACTGGGAAAATTCAATGAAAGTGTATCATTTCTACTCACTTTGCAATTTTGAGGCCTTTTCTACATTACTAATACAGTGGTCAACATTAAAAATTCACATTGAAACAATCTGGCATGTCTGTACGCATCTGTGTACATAAACACTGATTTTTATGCAGCTTGTGGGGTTTACAGCTTGAGGGAAGTGGGGTTTTATGCAGCTTGAGGGAAGGAGGACAGCATCGCTAAGTAATGATAGAAGTCATAGTGAAACAGTGGCCAAAAGATAAAAAATTCAAACCAGAAAAATCACAAGGAATGAAGATTAGAAGAGCAGCATAGTACAGGTAGATTAAAAAAAAAAACAAAAACAACCCGAAACTCAGGAAGCCTAAATTCAAAAGGCTCTAACTCTGAGAGCGACTTGCTACATAATCTCACGAAAGTCCCAGCAGTCCTCTAGGTTTCTGCCTTCTCACTGGTAAATGACGAAGTTCGATTTCATCATCTTGCCTCTAGGATTCTCATTGTTTTTATTTCACACCCCAATTGCTTACTTCCTTAGATATGGTGGGGAAATTTTAACTTTACAAGGCCCCTTCAAAACCAATTTGACAGATCTCCTTTATTAAAAGCTCACATAAAGTAATTAAAGTTACAAGGTAATCTTTGCTGAACAATAACAAGTAGTATATTTAGGGTATTACAGTTTACAATGTGCTTTACCACAAATTGCCACATTTGATCCTCAATATAAAACTAAGAAAGAATTTAAGAAATTTCCCTGAGGTCTTGACAGTGTAAGAAGGCCATGCAAAAGTCAAAATGATGTTTTCTGACTCCAAATCCTGTGCTCTTTCAAGTACACTGGTATTCATATAAACACAGGAAGAAAGAAAAAAAACTTAAGCGAAGGTCTAAAGAGCAGTGCCACTTAAATTCAGAGATGGTTATATGCTCAGAAATAAAATACATGATTAGGCATCTTTTCATTGTAACATACCTTTGAAGACTTTTTCTAAAGTAGTTTTTCATGTGCTTTGGAATGAAAAGGTTTCAATTCATAATTGTATTTGTTATACATCTATAAATTCTTCTACCAAATTTCTTCACCTATGTTTAAATCAAACACAAATGATATTCCCTTTAACTATGCATGGTCATGTGGTTTAAAGGTTGGGATAAACATGGCTCGAGGACCACTCTCAATCTCATTCGGGTAGCTGAGAGGTCTAACGTTGGGCAGGTGTAATTTCTTTGTGACACTTTTCATTGAATAGAGACAGCATTAGATTCTTTTACTTTAGAAGCAATCAGAGGTCCAGCAGTTTGTAACAGGTAACGAATCATCAGGCTTCCTTATATATGAGTCTTGACAGATATATTTAATTACTTCCTATTCTATCACCTATGGCTAAGTCTTACAGATTTCAGAGCATGAAAATAACAAAGAAGATATCCTCAGATTCAAACATTTTTAATATCACTGTTATATTAATTTATTGGCAATATAGAGAATTGGAGAGGTAAAATTATACTCATGAAGAAACACTGGTGATACAGATTTAAATATTTAATTTCATAGTTGCCTTCATACAAACATCAAAAGTATTTGTGTAAGAAAAAATAGCTGTGAAAATTTTGTATTTTCACTGAAGGATTAAACATGTATAACAATGAAGACAGATGTCAGTACAGTATTAGATCTCCTTATTACATTTAAAGCACCCAACTTATACATGAACTACTCACTTATTACAGAATAACCACATTTACATTTCTGAAAATGTTATGTTCACTTTCCTAATCACTTTTAGTTTATAATCAGAGACAAGGTTTTTATTGCATATTGTTCTACATGCCATTACAAATATTTCGAGGTATTTCTCAAACCTAGGTGGCCAATTTAAAATATACTGTCAAAGAAGTTTCTTAGGTTTTGATGAAAAGGAATGTTGTAAAATTTCTCTGATGTTTAACAATGCAATCTCAGCTACCGGGCACTACAAATGTGGCAATATTAAGTGGAATATATCCCACAAAACAAAACACAACTATACATTTTAAAACCACTATAGAAACAAGTATTGATATTTCATTTCACCACTTTGATATAGTGGCACTGTAAATCTTTCAGTGATCACTCCTATTTCAGTGAAATTTATAAAAACACATATGTACATCTAAATACTTTCTCTTGTTTCAAGAAGATACAGTTACTACAAGTTAAGCCTAAACTACATTTTCATTTGATAACATTAGAGATTACTTTTTTCAGTGTATAATGAAATATCATATTTAATATTTTCAACAAGTTGATTATACTGATAACAATTCTTGGGTATTAGATATATTTTATTAATGGGAAATGTATACTTCATGTATAATATACTCTGTATGCCCCAAAAGCAAAACAAAAAATTTAATTACTACTAGTGAGCTTAACTGTCAAAAAAACAAAACAAAACCCACATACCTTCTCCTTTTGTCCTGAATAAGCTGAAGCTCTATAAGGCCAAATATGGAGTAAAATGCAAACTGTACTAAAGTAAGGTACCAGCCATAGGACTTAAAACCCTCCATTGAAAATATTAATTCCTGTCAAAAGATACATGAATACTGTTAATTTTAAGCAGATAAATTTCCTCACAATAAATTCTTATAAACACAACATTTAAAGAAGCACTCAAATCACAAGACTTCACAGAGGTAAAATTGGAGTAGTTAAGAGGCCTGTCCAAAGAGCTGACAATAGATATTCCAGGTATGAAAATCAGGAAGAAAATAAAGAGGGGGAATAGCTATGAAGCAGCATTATTCTATGCTTTTCTGTTTTTGTGAGACCAAAATTGAAAGAGTTGTCCAAAACAATGATAATGGTAGCTGATTCAAAAACTCATGTATTATTCAAAAAGCATGTTTCACTAGAAGTCTATTATCTCAGGCCTGTTTTTCTACAGGACTATAATCAGTTCGAATCAATGTTATTTTTTGGAATACTTGTGCCACAGATTATATAAAACTTCTCCTTGTAGAAGAAATGGTTACTTTGCCTAAACATAATGTCATACCATGAAGTAATACATTAATTGCTGACAACATTCTTAAGTCATTAAGAGGTGTTCTAATAAAGTTATCTGGCTTAGTTTAAAAAAAAATCAAACTTTCATACATATATTTCAACTGTATTTTACATAAAGCTTAAAAGATGAGATTTACGTATACATTTATTTTCAAAGAAAAACTAAATATAGCCTCTAAATAGACCCTGACCTAGATTTTGTACATTTAGGATACTGTATAATTCCCCAAATTTAAAATTCATGTTCAAGTAAGCCTGCAAAGTATTTAGGATTTTTCTGGTTTATGAAGTGTAAAAAATGAAAATACCGTTAAGTACTTTGTCATATATACAGAGGATGCCCAAAAATGTATACACATTTTAAGAAAGGAAAGAACGGTATTAAAATTGTAATACATACTCAATATATACCGATTACAAAAGATTAATACAAGTCACGTTTGACTTCTGCAATTACAAGGGTTGCTCAAAGTGGTTATCATCAGTGTAATTTTAATACAGTTGTTTCCTTTCTTAAAATGTGCATAAATGTGTGTGTGTGTGTGTAGAGCTAATTTTATTACAAAACTCCATTTTCTTTAAACTATTTTAATATGCAATTGTGTGTAAATTAGTAGCAATGTCAGTTTCCAAAGTGACAGCGTTGTTATAAACAATTATCAGTGGTTTATTTAATTTTAAAAGAAACTTTGCAAATCAGTTACAAATTAAAATCTCTGATAATCAAATAGAAAAAAATTTAACAAAATTGGTACCGTAAACTTCCAAATCATTTTCTTTTGCAATGGCTAACTTTGCTCCCAAGCTACTTGGTAACAATGAGTTTGAAGGAGGAAAAAAAATATTTTCCAGCAAGAAATTCCAACCTTTATTTGATAAAATTTACTATTTTTCATTGTGCTATCTGAATTTTTGTATCATCTTCTAGTGGGAAAATCAGTTACTAATATAATTAAGATTTTTAATTCATGTTTTTGTTTTACACTACTACTCTTCATAGCCTTTTTATAACCTAAGGAATAGTCCCAAATCACCTTCTTAATTATACCTTTTTCTATTTCATCTCTGTAAGACATGGCAAAGACACACTGATTAAGCTCACTCTGATTAATGCTACACAATACCAGAAACACATTCTGTTTTAAGAAAACATATCACTTTCCTTTTCGTGAATTATAAAAGGCTGTCTCAAGTTACAGAGTTTCATAGAAAAGTAAAGTTGGTACTGGCTGAAAATACTAATGAACTGACCGTTAATAATATTAGTCTATTCAAACACTCTGTTTACACTAGCCTAGCTAGATCCTCCCTCCCAGCCCAGGTCTTTGAAGGTCAGGAAATTGCTTCTGGTCAAATGTATATGCTGCAATGCAATGCAAATACAAGACAAATTCTGGCAATGTTAGAAATGTTTTGTATACAGGTAAAAAAAAAAAATCACAGAAAAATAAGGTTCTCGCAAAGTTTGATTAGAAGAAACCAACAAGCATGAAAACACAATAGGTGCTTCAAAAAAGAATGATTCAATTATAATGCAATTAGATACCCTAGAAAAATATAAAACATCCTGGTATGCTTTTGCAAAAATGACCTGTTATTAAGTTCCAAAAATCAGGAATGAACTGTAATACAGCTTTTGTGATATTATTCAATTTTATTAGAGAATTATGTTCCAAAATACCAATCAATACTTGAATTATTCTCTTAAAAACTAACACATTTGCAATTATTACCTGCATTTTGTTAGCTATATTTCAAATTTTTTCATAATTTTAATTTTTTAAGATTGTTTCCACTTCCTTCCTCTCATTTAAAATATTTAACTCAGAAATTCTGACCTGTTTTCAGCAGACTTACTTTTAAGAAGCCCTGTTCTATTACTATATTGAAAAACTCAAATTTGTGAATAAAATAGTATCCTATAAAATAAATATACTGAACAAAACTATTATTAGTAATTACCCTTATTGACCTAAATTTTTATAATTAACATTAACAAATGTTTTTTACCTGTAAATATCCATAAATGAGGTAAAATACAAAAACTCCAGCAACACATATGAAAAATTGAGTAAGTTTGTTAAATTTGCTGAGATTTATGCCAAGTACTACAATGTCATCTATGGACTTGATGTGTGGTGACATTGTTTGGGTTTTGGATGGGACACTTATAGAAATAAATTTCCTGGAGTTGTTGAACTTGAGATCCATTGTTCTTATTTTGCTGCATTCAGTGCTTCCAAAGTTATCTTTGTTGGTTTTTTTCTCCTTTCGTCAGTCTTTCTTTGCTTGCTAAGTCCTAAAGAAGAAAATAATAAATTTAAGCAAAACATTTGGAGAATATTTCAAATCACACTTTAAAAATTATATAGTAAGTCTCATTCTCTCTGGATATTAACATCTTAATTCCCCTAGTCAAGTTTCCAACCAACCAAAAACAGTATGTCAATTCTTCATACAATTGATCTTAACCTGGTAAAGACCAACACATCATTAAATTAAATATGTAGCATTCTCATTTCCCCAGCAACAAAACAGCTAACCTCATATTCATTTCATCAAAGGAGCAAACATGCCTTTATGCTTTCATATGTAATAAGAATATAATTTTTAAAGCCCATGATAGTTTATGCATAACATCTTCAACATGGATGTCAATCTTTAATTGCAGAAGAGTAAAGAACCAATGTTCATTTAAAATACTAAGACAATTGTGAAATATATGTGCTAATGATATTTTAAAATCAAGTCAAAGTAAGTTACTTAAAAAAATAGATTTACCAGAGACTATCAAAAGGATAATATGCTTTAACACTTGTATCTCTTAGGTAGAAAAAAGTGCTTTCTTCCATTGGAGAAAATCATTTTAATTTAAAAAGTCTTTGGGGAGCTGTTTTTCAATGGGTATAATAACTTCAGTTACACAAGATGAGTAAGTTCTAGAGATCTGCTGTACAACATGATGCCACAGTTAACAAGGTGTTGTGTGCTTACATATTTGTTAAGAGGGTAGATCTCACGTTAAATGCTCTTAATCACAAACACACACACAAAGCAACGTTTGGAGGTGATAGATATGTTTACTACCTTGAGTCTGGTGATGGTATCACAGGTGTATGGATATATCCAGACTCATTATATTAAAAGTGCAGTTTTTTGTATATCAATTATACCTCAATAAAGCTGTTTAAAAACAAAAGAAAACAGTCTTTGGGACTGTAAAAAGCTGGAAAACATAACATTTCTTGTTAGTCTGTAAAAATAAATCATGAAGCCTCCATAGATGACTGTTGTTTTCTCTTTGGATTTATATAAACCGAGAAATGAATTCCATGTAAAGGCTGAAGAGTGAAGATTATGAAAATTAAAGAATAAAACAAACTTATGAAAAGTCTGTTATCTTCTTAGAAAAAAAATCTCACTGTTACAATCCCAGTGGGAACTAAAATTTAGAGTCTAGTTGAGGGAAAATGATAAGGATAATTTTGACAGTGAACGCTCCTCTGAAAATCTTTTTAAATAAATTGTCATATGATGGTTTAAAATGGTAAGAACTAGGATCACCTCTTCCTTGTCACTTAAAGTGGCTAATTTAGAGATTCAGTAGGTCCTAATCAGTAATTTAAACTTTGGGCCAAGGCTTTGAATACAACTTGTCACTAACAACACTCAGGCATCAAAGAGTACTTGTTTTACAGGGTAACTGCCACATTTTAAACAGAAAATGTGTAATTTTTAAAGAAGTTTTACTGTATTTCTTTTCCTTTATCTGTTTTTTTCTTCTTTATACATTGTTCTTGCTTCCCACACTGTTTCACTGTCATCTTCGATCAAGACTTTTAAACCCTCTTGTAGGATACCCTCGAGATTTGACATTCTTTATAGACTTACTTTAAATGATCTTGAATGTAGAAGGAAAAAAAAACTGAACTACTTTCCATATGTGTAGGCATGGATATAGAGTACCATTCAAATAAATCTGGCCCCACACAGAAGGTTTTAAGCTTCCTCTCCCTCTACTTCTTTCAATCAAGCCCTAAACTGCTTACAATGGACTATTAAATATACCATGGACTCTCAAAGACCCTTCCTTGCCTTTTGTTCATGATGTTCTTTCAGCCTGATGTCTTCTTTCTCTGGGTCAGGATTTGAAGATGAGCTGTAAAGTTCCATCCTTGTGACACTGTCCATAATTCCCCATTAGGAGAGAACGGAACTGGAAAGGCAAGACTCAAATCTTATTTGTCTCTGCATTTTTGATATTCAGCATGCTCCGCAACCAATATTCAGATGAAACAAATAAACTAGCTGTTCTACTGGATGCCCTAAACCTCAGCTTGCAATCATACCCTGAATATGATTTTTAAAATGTATTGTGGTGTTGGCAAACTTTATGGGCAAAACTAAAAATCTTATAGAAAACAGAGGATGGGGGGAAAGTAGATAATGATTATATATTTACACAGAGAGAGAGAGTAAATAAAAATTCTAGAAGACCTGTTTCCTGATTTTATTGGTATCAAAAAATTTCCCCCTATATCACCTTCTGCTGGGATGTTGGTAATTTAGCAAAATGCCTGCATATTTTAATGACTCAATGAAACTATACCTGATAGTATGAGGAAGCAGGACGGCATGGTGCCTTCCCCATATGCTTTGGGATTTTGACAGATCTAAGTTCAAGGCCTGGCGGCTTGTCAGCGGAGGGACCTTTGGGCAAATTACGTAACCTTTCTGAACTTTCATTGTATATCTTTAAAAGAGGGGTAAAAAAAAGTGCCTATCGTAGGATTTTTGTTAGGACTAAATGAAATAATGTAAAAGTGCCTGGCATATAGTAAGACAGCCCATAAATGTCAGCTATCATTATTGACCTTTTTAGAAATATCGCTAGGGTGATAATGGTCTGCTGAAGCAGACTGACTCCTTTGGTATGCAGCTGGAAATACGAATCTGGATTTCCAACTTGGACTTCTCTCCTGAGATTCAGATCTATATGCCCAAATTCTTTTTGATATCTCTACCCCTGAGCTCCACTGGCACCTCATTTTAAAAGTGTACAAAGCTTAACTCATTATTTCCCCCTCAATACAAACCTGCACTTCTTCCTATTATATATCCCCAATCCCGCTTAATGGTATCAAGCTAAAAATTGAAAGTTATCTTAGATTCTTTCCTTTTCCTCACATTCTATATTTTGCTAAGATTGCTGTTGACTCTACATCTGTATATCTAAAATCTGTTCCTGACCTTACTACCATCAAGCAACCGTTTTCTCTAGCCTAGATTACTAGATTAGCCTGCTTATAATCTCTTCTCCCTTTTTGATACATCTTGCATGCTGCTCAACATGAATTCCAATCAAGCTGCACCTATGATTAAGGACCTATAAATTACAAACTGGTTGATCCTCTGAACTCTCATAGCACTTTATATGTACTTTTATAAATACTAAATCATAATGGTATAACTTTTTTGTTTTTATGTCTGCTGCTCCTACAAGTTTATGAAATACTTAAAGGAAGAGATAATATCATCTTCATGTGAAGTTCTAGCACATAAAAGTGTAACACATTAAAGGAAGGACTCTACTGCACTTAGTAAACACAACTTAATTAACAGTAGCCCTCTTCTTTCCAATTCTTTGCCACTTCTAACACATCTACTGGCCATCTTAGGAGCCACAGATCTGTGCCAGACACACAGTTAAATCCCTCCCGCACTGTCACTTGAACACCTGTGCCAACATATTGACATTTCTACTGACATTTCCCACAAAGCATCTAAAATGAACATGGAAATCCATTCATTCCTTGCCTACTTGAAGCACCAGCACCAGAAAGGCTGCTCTTTAAGGCCTTGCATTTCAAATGCAGTTTTATTAATCAGAACATCACTGGTCAGGTCGTGTGACTGAAGAAGGAAGACACTGTGAATTCTGATACCCAGTAACTGGGATCCTAAATGTTTGCCATATCCCTTCCATTTCAGACACTAATGATGATATTAACCAACATCCCAAGAAATTAGGGCAATGTCCTCATAGTGCAGGAAAAAAACTCTCAAGCATAACATTCAAATTAGTTTTCAAGTTAAATGATCAACATTTTGCTTTGCTTTAGTTTACAGTAACCCTCGAAACTAAGTATAAAAAACTCACATCTTTGAATCACTGCCTGAGGCCTCTTCCTAAAGTCAACAGATACTTAACTTTAGTTTCTTGAAGGTAAAAATAACTGCTAAAATTGAGTAAAAGGTATCATTTCTAGTACACAGTGAAATTTAAAAATTATAAATAACTGGTGATAATGATTATTTACAATGACCTACTGAAGTCAAAATTATTTCAGTAAGTTTCTTAACCTAGTCTTTTCAAATCTTTAGAATAAAAGTCTCCCACTACAAAAGGGTAGAATATGAGGAAATTGTCATTTCAGTGTGAATGAACCTGAAAAAAGCTTGATTCTGTATTTTGTCACACTCAATACAAATAAAAGAGTATTGCAATTATATCTAGATTAACTGGACTCTAGATATTAATCATGACCTATGTCCTATGGGGATAATTATAAAACTGAGGAAAACAAGATTCTGTTCCAGTTCTTTGTACACACTTTATTACACTAAGTTAAAAAAACCATGTGCTAATTTTCGAAGGCTACTCCGCTTTTTTTTTGCCCTCAAAGGAGAAAGCTAAATTTAGGATTTAACATAGATATATATTAAGAAACTAAGTATAAATAACACTCATCTAAATTATGTTCGAATGCTGCTATATACCTCTCTTCCAAGTCCCAAACCATCCCAGTTCACTTAGAAAATATTTATCCAAAAATCAATTCTCAACACATGATATCGTACTGTAGAAGAAATGAATATGCCCAACACTAAAAACACTCTCTTAGCACATCAAATCATCCCGCCTTCTTTCAATATTTAAAAGAAATATAAAATGGTGGGGGAGAGAATTAAGATGCAAAGATTGGAGGAACAGGCATAACTTCGAGTGGAAGCTTATGACATTTAATAACCTGGCAAAAACGATTACTTGCACTGCAAATCAAATGAACAGCTGAGGACCCTTTTCGACGCAGAACCCGGAAGTAGCTCTTAACTGAAACGCAGTCTTGGGGAAACCAGGAGACTGACATTTCTCTACAGGTCCAGGCTGTAGTCTAAAAAGACTCCCCTACCCCCAACCCCTGTAAGTGTCCTCATGCCTTCGAGTCCACAGACCCAGGCCTGAGGGGGTTCTCTCCAGCCAGAGCGCGGAAACGGGGCGAGGAGCTGCAGAGGATTCTCCCTAGAAACCACGCAAGCAGTTTCCATTCTTTAAAAAAGGAAATTATCCGTGCTCTCAATCCCAACCTCATTCTCGCTCCCCGCACGCTCCCTATGTATGAGGGGGATAGACAGTATCAAGGTTCTCTGGGGAGAAGGGTTCTGGGTCCCAAACAAGGCGAAAGGCCCGGGGCACGTCCACTCCAGAGCCAGTGTATCACCTGGAATGGTGACCCCAGCCTAGGTGGCGGCAGCCAGACAGAGTCTCCCCCTCCCCAGGTCCGCTGTCATCACCTCCTACTTTTCTTCTTCGCCCACTGCTGCACTTTGCACCGCGGACGCCGCCTTCTCGCAAGGTGCTCGCGCTGCCGGCGCCACAGCGCCACTTCCGCCTATGTGTCCCTGCGCGCGTGCGCAGCTGCAGGCCCCGCCCCCAGGCCGGCCTCTAGTCGCGCGTGGCGTTGGCACGGTTACCTCTCGCGCATGCTCCCTTTTCTCCGGGACGCGGGGAAGAGCGCAGCCAAAGTGGGCCCAGCGGGGCGAGGACTGTGCTTCTCTGCCAAGGGAGTGGGGGCGGCTGTCTCTAATCGGGTTAAGTGTTCTCATCCTTCGATCGGTGCTCCGCTTGTTCCTGGGTCCGAGCCTCTGAGCCTCCGCAGCCTCCCGGGTCACAGCGGCCTGGTACTCTCCGGCACCTCCAGCCCGGTGAGTGCACACGCAGGAGGAGACGTCTAAGTCAATGGCTCTGCACTGAAATTTGAGAAGGCGGCCAAGTGGACAATGTTGAACCCGCGTTTAGAAACCCTTGAGGTTCCCTCTTCCCTCTTCCCTCTGCTTGACCCAAATGAGATAGACCAGTCACCGCCGTTACCTTTCTCTGCTTCCATGTTCTTGCCTGACTTACACCTGCTTTCTGGTGAAGAAGTTATAATTCAACTTGTAGGTACAGCAGCCCGGTCCTTGAAACATAACAGACGTGTTGCCAGCATTGTTTTGACAGTGTCACTTATTACTCTGAATGTAAATCCCATAGCTTGACCAGCCATCAAACTCCTACTAAACATTTACCCTGTATTTAGGGCTACGTCTACAATTACTGGGATATAATGATTTGAAAACCAAGAAGGGATAGGTGATGAGTTGTTTTTAGGTAACACTAAAATGACATGGGAGGCAAAGATTACTATAACAAAACTGGAACATTTTTGGGAGCATTCTTTGGATACCCAGAAAGGAATGAATTGGATTAATATATATTAGAATCCAGTCAGGTATGTACAGCTTTTAAAATTTCACAGACATACAGAAAGAGCAGCATTTGTGTTTTGTGTTGGATGTTAGGGTTTCTATTGAAGCGCAACAGATATCTTCCACTGTAAGGGGGTCTGGCCAGACATTTTCATTTAATCCTTACCAACTTTGTTAGGTCAGTGTCATCAGCATTTTACAAATGTTGAAACAAACCCTTGGAGAATTTAAATTTCTTAAAGAAATAGTGAATGACAAAACCTTTCAATGATGCCATACTGTTATCTGAATAGTGTGGATTTAGTACTACTCTGTTAGGCATTTAAACAATATTTATTGAGCTCCTATTAAATGGACATGTACATAGGTTATATACATAATCATAATACATAACAAAGTTACAAGTATGGGCCCTCTGCCCTCATGGCGTTATGGATACACATGAAAAGGTAAATGCCAGTATAAAATATTTTACAGTACAAATGTTTTATATGAAACAACTTACAGTATAAGAAGTGTCATCTGCTCATGCATGGACAGTTGAAGAACTACCAGGTCTTTCTACTGCCCTTACTTCTCTACATCCGAATTCCATTCAGCAGCTGGAA